AGACAGCACGTCACTTCCTCTCGTTTTTTATCCAGCGGCCGTGACACTACTCTCATCACCCAACTCAGCAACACTGTACACCAGACCATGCGCCTCCTACGCCGCATTGCCAACCACCACCACGGCACGCGCGATCAGGACATTCACCGCCTGTTCAACGCCTTTGTTTATAGCTAAATATACTTCGTCTATTCTCTACCTTATATCTTCTTTTCTCGCACCGAGGAAGACAAAGCCAACTGCCTTATTTGTCAGGCGTATAAGTTGGCCCTGTCACTTCCCGCATATACCTCAACGGATCGGCTACTGTCAATGGTGTCCACAAGTTTCCTTACGGAGCTGACAGAGGCCTATCGCATGGCCTAGCTCCTCCGTTTCTTTCGCACACTTCTCTTCACCCATAAACTCTCCACTCTTTCGCATCTTCCCACCTCACTTCCCACCCCTTCCCACGTCTCTTCCCTTCTAGCCATTGATCCCCTCCCAAAGAATATGCCTTCCGAACACCACCTCTCTCGTAGAGCAGCGCGAGCCTCCGTGCTCTGGCGTAAGTTCGGATAGAAACCCGACGTGGCTTATGTGGATGCCGCCCCATATCACCACTACGCAGCTCACGCCCTTGCAGTAACAGACAACTCCCTCTGACCTATCATTACTGCCTCTGTCTGTACCTACACCTCTGCCGAGACTGAAGAGACAGCTATTGCCCTCGCCATAACACAAACCTCAGCAGAATACATTTTCTCCGACTCCAAACCCATGGTATACAACTACGCGGTTGGACGGGTGACACCCCCGGCCGCAGGCATCTTGAGGTCTGGCACCGTTTCCTCTCGCCCCATTTATATCATGTGGGTACCCGCTCACGCGGATCATCCTGGCAACGAGGTGGCCAATTCTATCGCTTGCGATTCGACCAACCGAGCAAGCCCGCCCCCGCCAGAAATGAATACGCGCGACGCGTTTCTCACGTACCACGACATCGCATTGCACTACCGCCTCTCCCGCCTCACCCCCCGCACCAATCCATTACCCAGCACCAACGCTTGAACACTTGTGGCGCAAACGTCAGGCACACACCTTCCTTAATCCCGCATGTCTTGCCCTCTTCCACCCCGAAACGCAATCGCGGGCCTGCCGCTTATGTGGCCGCTCTATTGCCAGCTATGAACACATATTTCTTCCCTGTCCGGCACACTTCTTCTCCTGCCTCTTGGCACCTCAGAAGTCCGCAGCAGCGGGAGACTGCTTTGTCCAGCGCCAGGCCGAACCTGCAACTTCGGCTGGTGACTTGGGCGGAGGGCACCACGGCTAGGCACTGTCTGCACGCCACAACCGCCAGCCTGAAGGCCGCCCGAAACGCTGCTTTTTAAAAATTTTTAAATATTTACTTTTTGGTCTTCACACGAATGAAGTTTTTCAGCACCGCCGCGACAGACGGCGAGAGGAGCAGGCGACGCCGATGTGAGGATTTGCGTCTTTACACAAAGGCACTCCACAAGGAGCGAGCATCTTCCCGTGAAAAGAGGAAGTACGTGAAGCCTAGGCACGTCACCTAGGTTCTCATCCCAAGGGAAACAATGTTCTGTGGGCGCTTGTGAACTAAAATACTTTTTTTCTTGGGGGGGGGGGGGGGGGGACACGGACTAATTATTAAGAATACATTGTTGTAAACAGATAGTGAGTCACTATACTCGGAAATGCGCTGTATGACTAGTGTGAAGATAATAAAAGGTTTTGATCCAGATACCACTCGTGATTCTCGTCTCTGAGTTCGACGTTACGAATGATGGGGCTTTATTTACAGATTATTGCTTGAGGAAATGATAGTTCACCTTGGAAGATGTTGCAAGCAATGGCTTACAACAGAGTTCATCGTTCCGCTCTTCTACCACTTCACATCGATAAATTGTTTCAGTGCCATCACGCGCTCACTTTCGGCACCCTGTCGATATTTCAGTTCAGTCGCGCACCCGCGTAGGCATACTGTAATTCCAGAAGCTAATTAACATATTTTCTTGGTCACCATTTGAAACCATGCACGAGCAACAAAATATATTTTAAATGTTTCACATTGCCCACGCGCGTGGTTGGTCCCTGTCTCTGCCCCGTCTCTGAACATAACGAACCAATTGAAGAATGAAACGAGTAATAACCTATCATCAAATGCCGAAACAAGGAATAACCTATCTTGTATCATCAGACGCTTGTAAGTCCGCCATTGTATAGGTCACTGTTTCAACATTTTCACGGCCATGACTTTATTCGTAAATATCGACCTCTGGATACGGTTTAAGGGCTCTTAGGAACCAGTTACGAAACTGTTAAACGCTCAGGAATGCAATCAGTGGTCAAAGAATTTCAGAACACGCGATTTCCGTTTGCAAAGACCCTTAAAGTTGTGTGCTCTCTTTTGGCCATTATTCCTGAGGAAGGTATCTGGAAATATCAGCTCTGGTTCTGCAAGATAAGCTAGCTGTCGTTAAGAATGAAGACCCAATCCTTGCTCAAAAAAATGCTTCGTAGGTGGAGTATCTGGCAGCATAAAAGTGCAAATGAGTCGGCCTTTTGAACAGATATAAACGATCTTTTTACTCATTTACACCACAGCATGTGCTACTAATAAGAGTTAAATAAGTGGTTGTAAGTACTGTTTCATTTCAAAACGGGTGCAGAGTGTCTTTCATTGATTTTTCGTGTACCTCCCATCTGCCATTTGAAACGAAGGTATATATCTGCAAAATACTGACTGTACTGGGTTGTTTTCTGTGCGCACTGGATGCCACGGCCACTGTCAAAAGTCATAATTCTTGCCGTTTCTCGCCCAGACAGTAACTGCTAGTCAGCTCAGTGTACGCCAACGGCAACAAGCCTGCCATTGTATACACAGACATCTGGTATCACAAGTTCAATAAACATTTGACGGTCAGCCCTTTTTACAACCTGGCTCTGTTATCGCCCTTTCTAGTTTTTCCCGCATAGATGTGTTCGTATCTCATTTGCGGTTCTATTTGAAAAATAATGCATTGATAGGTCAATTGAAATGCAAAAGAAGATTCTCAATGTCACATTAAATAGAACTATTCAAGATACGTTCCACATTTAAACACAATGCACGATAAAACTCTTCTCGAATTGGCGGCAACCCATGCACCTACCGGCGCTCTGCTGGGGTAACTCGAGCGCCCCTTAAGCGCGAAGTTCGGAGCTGGCAGCTACGTAGACCACCGCCAACTGGGCAGGTCGTAGAGGAGAGAGAGGGGGGAGTGACCGTAGGTTAGCTCTCTGCATGCGTAGGAGGTGACAGAGGAAGAGCGTAGGACAGGAGCGGGCACGCATGCGCAGTGAGTGTTGTCACGCCACACACTGAATCGAGCTCCACTCTGAAAGTCTGAAAACAGTGGGCGTTCATTTGGCCTGCTTATAGTTTTACACACACATATTAATAATAAATGGGCAACTAAGTTCACCGATGTTCAATACAGCCAGAAAGTATGGCGCCAGCTTGAAATTTTCGACGCTAGTTTGGTGCAAAGCAACCACCGACGGCAACCCTGCCGGTGGCATTTATCCGTCAGGTTCACGCATTTCTGTTTTGCGAGCCTTTCAGGCATGTTGTATCACTGCCCTTCACTAAACATGCTTTGTTAATCTTTGAGGTGGTAGTGCGGTTTTATTGCATTTTGATTTTTGCTCATGGGTTTACAAAGAAGCCTTCGCTTTACGTGCTCCGATAACTTGTATGTTGTGTTCTCTTTATGAAAAACCAAGCTTTGAGAGGGTAGTATAGCCACCTCCTTTTACAATCACAAATTATCACGTGACAGTGGTGTCACTATGGTAACACGCACCCCATTTTTTTTAGCCATGTGTTGCCTCCTTCCTTTCCTATGGAAGTTGTGCAGCAGAATTTACCCAATTTCTGCGACACATGCACAATCGTGGTGATGATCGTTTCTGCAGCGGAACTTCTGTCCCAAATGTTAAGTGTCTTGAATTCCAGCAGAAATTACCTAATGTTTGCGGCCCATACCTGTTATTTTTAGATCCCGGACACGAAAGGCTCGACCAAGAACAGCCTTCGCTGCTGAAATTTTCGCGGCACGTGATTCGCTAAGCGCAGTGCGCTAGAGTCATCGCAGCCCCGAAAAGTGTACGTCAGGAGAGTGAGTGAGTAGTGAGTAAAAACTTTATTGAACATGTCCGGCGTCATTGAGCGGGGTGGGGCTACAAGCACCCCGGCCTAGGTGACGGCCTCGAGTCCTTGGACCCGGGCGGCATCCTGGGCTTGCCGGACGGCCCACAGTTGATCGGCACGGTCGTAGCTGAGCAGAGCCGCCTCCCATTGCGCCTCGCGGTTCGAGACTGCCATGTCTACCGGGTTCGTAGGGGACTGCTGCGCGTTACCGGTACACTTCCACAGCATGTGCTGCAGAGTCGTTCTGGCTCCGCACGCCTTACGCGTCGGACGTATAAATGCCTGGGTAGCAGAGGCGTCAAGAGAAGAATATTTTTATTGGGCACGATGAGAGGCTAGCCTGGAAAGCGGGCTTCTAGCCTGCTAAAAGAAAAATCGAATGAAAGAGGGTTGATTGTCGTATAGCATAGTGCGTCACTGCATACACTGCCCCGTTCGGGCTGAGACACATGCCAAAATCTCTACATTAGCACGAGCTCTAACGACAAGAATCTGAACCTGTCTTCTGAGAAATGTGAGCAAGCTCTTTAAGCTGCGTTGGGCATGATCTGCACGTCCCCAAGCACCAAAAAAGCTTCTCCTCCGAAAAGGGTCGGCAGTCTGTGAGGCGCTTTAGTCACATGTCCTTCGACCGAGGGCAGACCCACAGGTTGTGATGAATATTCTATGAAAATGGCAGGCAGGCTGCCTCAGTGGGTATACAGCTGTCAGACTGCTCCTTCCATATTTCCTTTGCACCCTCGTATGTTTGCGTATACTTTTCAAGAATGTAACTTGAGTGCTGCTCTTTCTTTTCTTCTAGGAAAGTGCTCCTACGGTGGGCTAATGCTGGAACCAACCACACTGAACCTAATGAAAGAGCCCTGCGAAGCCTGGACCTGCGACGCCGAAAACTACACAATCACCATTCAGAGGTCAGCTGCCCCCCCTTCACCTGTTACATCCGATGTGCTCCACATTAATTAAGGCAGTACTGACTCAAAATTTCTAAGGCGAGACATCTTGTGGGATATATCATTGAAGAGAGGGAAATAAGACTTGCGATAGATCTGTGTCGACGCATCGATGCATCATACACGAAATATTAACAGACAATATAGTCTAACATATTTGAAATCAATTTCAGAGTGCATGATGCGTCGCTGCACGCAAAACGCACTTTCGGTTTTAGTGTAAACAACCAACCGACCCCTGCTTAACTAGCTTGTGCTGGCAACCCGATCCTTGCGAGTACAAAGGCTCATATCCTTGCTACGACAGTGCACATTTAGGAGTCACGCATACTTACCATGCACCAAGAAGCCTTCGTTGAAAAGAGTTGTGAACGCGGTGCTCATGTGCGTGCGGTTTTGTGTGCTCAGGCGAAAACTGTTCTGGGTCACGTCTCACTCGTCGCTTTCTGAAACCGAAACTGCGACTGAATGCTATAAAACCATCTCCAAATAATTAACCCTCGCCCGCCCCAGCAAACCAGCTTCGCAGCCGTGATAAGTGTGTCGTCACCTGCCCATTGTAACAAAAGACAAAAACAAAATGCAACATTTTGATGTTGTTCTAAGATGCATGCCTCATCAAACGCAGAAAGGGACCACTGCATCGGTGGCTTCACCGTTAGTGATTTAAAAAGTATCCCCTTGTGATGACGTCATCACGACATCAGTCACAGAAATTTGTGAAGTCAATATGACGTCACATTTTAAAGTGGAAGCAATCTGCTCTTTGTGGAGTGCGTAAATTAACTTGCGTCCCGCGTCGGCGTCTTCCACCGACGGCGGCACATTAGTGATGCGACAAATTACCGGATTATGTCAAACGTCATAATTCTCAATCTCTTCGAGATATTATGCTTGTCTTTAACTTTCAGCAAATCGTGACCCAGCCTACAATGTGCTGTTAAAAACAATCTGGATCTTATCCTTCTCAGCGAGCACTTCCCAATAAATGCTCTTAAATCGAGTATTATTAAAGGCATTTTGGACCACAATATACCACTATGCGTTTCATTTATCAGTAATACCCATATCAATCGTAGCGAAGTGTCTGTGATTGCTGACTTTCAAAGAGCGGACGACATCAGCATACTAACAGTTAGACGACGAGTTTTCCAATGATTCACAACTCGCGTCTGATGCGTCATGGGGCATATAAGCTCTCTGGATTACGTTCAAATAAATTATATGTTTTGTATCGATAAGTATATACCCCCAAAACCAGGAAACAGCAGAGGTCTAACCCATGGATCACGCGTGAGGTTATTCAATCAAAACGTCGCGTGAATAGTCTTCGGAAAACAGCAAAAAATAACCAAAACCAGTCGATAACTTTAAAACTGCAGAACACTAGTATACTTGTCCCCGAGATAAAACCAAAGCGGCAAATGATCATTACATTAAAGTAACTCTGCCGAATTTTATTGCAAATAACCCTCGCAGGCTCTGGATACACTTCAGTGTAAAGGGGGCAGTGACACAACTATCTGCAGAAGAAAAACAAGAAAAAGCTGAGTGACAACTTTTTTCTGTCAGTATTCACAGCTGAAAACAAATATGCACCTCGATTAGTTCGCTCATTACCACGACCATCCATGGCCTAATCAATATAGGGGCCGGTATCATGAATCTTCTATCTAATATTGATCCCAAGTCCCGATAACAAATTACTTAAAAGGTACGCAGAATGGAGTAGTAAATATTTCGGAATACTTTTTAGGAAGTCCTTGCAGCTCGTAAAATTACCGCCAGACTGGAAATTAGCTAAAGTTATACCAATACATAAATCTGGAGATAAAGTTCAGGTATCGAATAAAGTTCAGGCCTACACCTCTTACAAGTACATAGTGCAAATTACTAGAACATGTTATTTCTAAACACATCTCATCTTTCCTTCAACAAATACACTTTTTTCTCTCAACCAGCACGGATTGCGAAACGGCTTATCGGCTATTACATAATTGACTGAAGTTGTGAATGCCCTTGCACATATAACCTCTATTGCAGCAGTCAAACAGATATGGTCCTATAAAATTTTTCAAAAGCATTCGACAGTGTCTGCCAGAATAAATTATTTGCAAAACTGGAAGCCACCTTAGGTAACACTCCATTCACCTGTTGGATTAAGGTTTTTTTTTTTTTTTGCTCAATCGAAAACCATTCGTATTATTTGAACAAGCTACATCAAAAACCGTTTCTGTATCATCAGGCGTACTACAAGAATACGTTCTTGTATTTTTAATCTATATTAACGACATTGCAACTAACATTAACTCCAACATTAAACATTTTGCTGACGATGGTGTTATATATCAGGGAATCAATAGCCATACAGAACACCTTGTGCAACGTTCCTCCCTAAGCACAGTATCGGAGTGGTGCAAACAATGGCAGATGTCAGTAAACGCAAAGTAAAATACGCTGTGATCACAATAACTCAAAGAAAATAACTCTCACTATTCAACTATGCAGTCGATGGCACCATGCTACCTAAAGTAAACGAACATAAACATTTAGGAGTGACGCTTACTTCGGACCTTAACTGGACCCAACACATAGACAATGTCACCGCAGCAGACCATCTATCCATCCATCCATCCGTCCGTCCGTCTAGCCACTTACGTTTGGGTGCTCTCGTGGTCACCCCCTTAACTTGACGTGAACCAAAATTAGCATGGGCGGGTAAGATGGTTTGACGAACATGACGCGCTGATCAAGACATGAATAATCTGACAATCCAGTCGCGTGCGTCGTCAAACACTTCCCGTCAGACAGCGGCATATATCCACAAGCGGGTATGTGCCACTGGTATGTGGGTATGTGCCACAGGTGATTGGCACTTAGTATCTACCTAGGAACGACGAGAACACTAATGGGCAATTTTAACGCGTAAGCGCTAAAATTGCCCGTTGGTGTTCCCATAAATGGGAACACAAATGCCCATAAGAAATGCCCATAAATAAATTGCCTATAAGAAGTCCATGCAAAGGATGACATCTCTCGGGCAACGCTGTAGGACTACTAAGTCTGCAGGATAAATACGGCCGTTAATGGTGACTCTCGCTGTGTAGATTCCTTCAGGCGTTACGAGATGACCTCCGGCTGTGCGGATTTCGGGGCCTTCCCAAGCTGTCCTAACTTTCTTCAACTGCGCGGCGAACGGCCCACTGATGACGGAATAGTCGGCTCCACTATCGACGAGAGCGGTCACACTGTGGCGGTCGATAAGCACGTTAAGGTCGCTAGTTCACAGTCTCGCGTTATAGTTAGGGCGTGGCGTCGCGTCACGGCTGCGTCGGCTTGTTCCGCTGCTTCCATGTTGCGTCGCCAGGTCACCTTCGGTAAATGAGGTTTCGCCGTCAGGACTTTGCATGGTTGGCGTCGTGTTCGGAAAGCTCCGTCGCGGCGTCGTCGTCGGAGGAGGATCTTCGGTAGTTCGTCGCACAGCAACCGCACCTCCATCGGTTGCTGCCCTTAGTTTCCCGGATACGGGCGAGGAGACCGACCCCGCGTTGGGCCAGAGTACTGCCGGTGGTGCGGTGACATGCGGCGGCTGGGCGACGGCGAACGGGAAGGACTTCGTGGTGTCCACTGAGTTCCTTTCAGGTAGTCGGCAATGTCACGTGACCGTTCCCCTGGCTGCGGACGTGGTGCATTGACGGCGAAGCCACGCAGTCCCATCTGTCGGTACTGGCAACGGCGGTAAGTGTGCCCGGCCTCGCCGCAGTGGTAGAACAATGAGCGGTGGTCAGGGGTGCGCCAGACGTCAGTCTTCCTTGAAGCGTAGTGCTGGCCGGCCGGCGGGTGGTATGGCGTCGGCGGTAGTAGCGGCGGTGCCTGGCGGAAGAACTGTGGCGGGGCTGTGTCCTGACGAGGGCGTGGAGGAGCGTTGCGGCGCACTGCAGTGGCGTAGCTCATTGCTTCCGGTTCAGGCTGCGGTACTTCTGCGATTCTAAGCGAGTGCCGAACTTCTCTGTGGACAATGTCAGCGATCAAATTGGCTTGAGGCTGCGTTGAAGGCAACAACTTCTGCAGCTCCTCCCGTATGATCGCTCGAATCGTCTCGCGCAGGTCGTCGGTACTGAAGGCATCAGCGCAGTTTAATGAAGCGCGGCGGTTGTATTGCGTTGTGCGCATCTCAAGCACCTTTTCTATAGTTGTGGCCTCGGCAAGAAATTCGCTGACAGTCTTGGGCGGATTCCGGACAAGTCCCGCAAACAGCCCCTGCTTGACTCCGCGCATGAGCAACCGTAGCTTCTTTTCCTCAGCCATGTTGGAGTCGACGTGTCGAAAGAGCCGGGTCATCTCTTCGACAATGAGGGTTACGTTTTCATTAGGAAGCTGCAACCGTGTCTCCAGCAATGTGACAGCCCTTTGTTTGTGGACGACGCTCGTGAACCTGCACAGGAAGGTCGTCTGAAAGAGTTCCCGGGTTCGTAGTGTGGATCCGTGGTTTTCATACCACGTCTTCGCGGCGTCTTCTAAGTAGAAATAGACGCGGCGTAATTTTTCCTCGAGGTCCCAGCTGTTCAAGGCGGCGACTCGGTCGTATATTTTGATCCAGCTTTCCGGGTCCTCGCCTGACGTTGGGGGTTCCTTGGGCTGCCGGAGAATGACTGGAGCAGGCTGCACGGGGGCGGTCATGGTTGCTGTAGTTAATGTCGGGATCTGGGTCTGCCTGGCTGCTTCAGGAAGGGGCCCGTACTCTGGTTGTAGTCCCCTCTGCCTGCGGCTTGCCTGCGGCTTGTTGCCTGTTCCGGGTTGGCATCCGTGTCTTCTTTGCCGCTTGGGCTGGGCTCGCGGCTTGAAGGGGGTGTCCGGAAGATCAAAGAAGCAGCACCTCCACCAGATGTCACAGGGTCGTAACGTCGACAAAGAAACCGACAGTAGGATGAAGGTTAAACTGTTTATTTGGGTGAACTTGTGCCCGGTAAACGTAAAGTCAGATCACAGTAGCAGACCTGCACTGATAGCGGCGAACGGATCGTCAGTCGTCGATCAAGTGACAAGCGGCAAAGCGCGTCGGCCTTTATGCACTTGCCGTCGAATGTTCTAGCGTTATAGCTAGCGTTGACGTAGGCTCCAGAAAAATCTGTACAGTTCGTGGAGTGGGCGTGATCTTATCGAAATGATCTACTACAGTCCTGAAGCTTCTCTTCGGTTTGCGCTGAGAATTACGTAGTGTATTGGGGCGATAACAAAATTTGAGAATAAGAACCTGGCAATATTTTGCACTCGCTTTTTGCATTGCCCTCCAGCTACGCTCTCAGATGAGAGCATCAGTATTGGAAATAAATAAATAAAAAATAAATAAATAATTACAACCCATATTGTTGAAATTCATGCCACCATCATGATGTCACTCCAGTGTAACATAACAAGACGTCACATTGCGACGTTATCAGACGACATTGTGGCTTGGTCAAAGAATGTGGGCCAATCATGGAGGTAGAGCACCAAGCGAGGTGCAGACGTCTTTCAAGGACGTCGACTGAAAAGAATAGGACGCCTTCGACTAATCTTAGGCGAATTCATTCGAAACACTTTTTAGCTCTCGACGTAGTGAAAGCTGATGTTAGAGATATTGACCAGCGCCTATGACTACAGACGGGGTACTCTTCGTGTAGCAACTCGAAACGACCCTTTTGGATCTCAGTTCAACCTATTCGTTTTCACAATGGTACACGTGCACTCACGATGAATATTTTGGCGTGCAGAAATCATGACTCCAGTGTTCGTGACAGATAGTTTAAAAGTTATGTAGGCTTCGCATGTTGTACGTATGCCAAGTATACATCTAAGCAACTTCAATTAAGTGATGATAACATGCACGTTCAAATTACTTAGTTGATTTATAACGTTTTAAGCTTCATAATAAAACACCTAAGCCGTTCATGTCTCACAACTTCTGAGATGTGAGGCTGTCATGATGCGCTTTGGCTGCATGCAATGAAGTAATGCCTTATCTCTAATAATCCCTCATTATTTAGTGGAGGAAGTTCTCAGCTTTAGTACGCATACGCACATGTTTAACCCTGCTGTTTTCTGTAGGGAGGTTTTCATTTATATTACCTCAACTACTCCATTTCTATATTCGCTGCAGCTAAAAAAAGACAAAAAGAAGCTTTACGAAACCAAAAATCAACAGCTAAAAAAAACTACAGCCAACTGCATGAAAAATTGGCGCGGTCTTTTAGGCCCTCACCTAATGACGACAAGATTTTACCATGTTTCTTTGTGCACCTTAGTTGTACTACTGCGTATGCTACCTTTAGGTAGCATAGTTGCACTGCATCTGTTTTCTAAACGCCGCTAGCAACTATGCACTGCAGAGAAGCTGACGCGCAAGTCTCCAACCCCCGCTGAAGCGAACCGGTTCAACAAGAGGGCTTCCTCGACAGTGCTTCGATTCCCTTAATAGCACTCCGAAAATCCACTGTCGAGGCTGTGAATTCAACTTCTGTACTTCCATGACACAATCCAGAAAGCAGGCATTTCTGCTTTCATCGCAGGTCATCAACACGTCAGACATATTGATCAGCCCTGCAAAAATGTAATGTGAATTTTTCACATATCTGTAGTTGCTAGCCGGACCTACGTGCAACTCCGCTCTCGTGGCGAACATATGCAGTAACTCTAAATGTATTGATCCTGCAGCCCCGCCATGCTCCGGAAGCTTTCTGCGCCTAACGTGGGTGGCATTCCACTGCCTCAAAGATCAGAGGTAGATCGCTTATTTTCGCACTGCTTCCGCGACCAGCATACCTTTGACCAAGTTACGATGTCATGCGACGTTACGTCACTTACCACCACTGCAACACCACTATAACGTCACAATAGCGTCAAAATTTCGGAGATTTGTGACGTAATTATGACGTCATCACGTGACGACTTTTTGCATCACTCGTGTTGACGCCGCCGACGCAGGACGCTGGTCAATTTTTCCGTTTGATGGGGAATTCGCCTTAAAGAAAAGATAACGTGGTAATGGACAGTTCACTTGCAGGAGAACATTTTGCAATAGAACGTTTACACGCACACATTTATGCCCAAGCTGTACCCGCGGTATACAAACACGTCACAGGATACTAGCCATGCACCGCTATTCATTTAAAAAAAAACAGTCCAGTGTCGACTAAATAGACCGTGCGGGCTTTTTGCGGTCCATGCATGCTTTTTCAGACCATGGTTCAAGTAATTTTTGTTATGTAAGACAGCGTCTGTCCAAACCTGCTTATTTTCTTCTTTCTTTGCACATAAACTCTTCGCATTCAAAAAGCATCAAGTGTAGGTTGCCTCGTGCGATGCTCGGAGGCTGCTTGTTCAGGTATACCACAGGGGGCATGTTCTCTGTTACTTCAATTGAATTCTCCGCTTCTTTCATAGTTCTACACACGTATAAAAAGAGCCCACGTAAAATACCCTACGCTTCACTTAGCTTCATTGTCTATGCTGGATTCGCGTAGAGCGGAAGGATACGCTAGGCACAAAAGGCATATTTCACATTGCTTTGTGTGTAGCAGGCTCGGTGTTCAACAAAGACAAAACGGGATCAAAATCAGTGACGTCGCTCTTTCTCTCTCCATCTGGGACGCCAAATGAAGTGCAATTGTGTTCACTTGGAGTCAGATTGATCGCAAGTTATCGATGAACAAAAACTCACGTATACAGCGCGAAAAGACTTGCAAAAAGACTTGCAAAAAAAGTTCAGAAAAGTTCATTTTTATTCATTGGTTTCTGTGTTTGACAATATCAACGCAAAGGCATATTCCCATTCCCACTCTTTGGCTGCAGTGGGGAATAAAACCTCGATTCGTCAAGTGAAAGCGTCTGCTCATGGTTAAAAAAAAAACTCACATAAATTCTCAAAAGTAGTTTGAGGGAACGCTGTGAATCCTTTTGAATTTCGCCTGCTGGGACCACAAGCTCACAATCTTTGTTAGAAAGCGAGTTTCAAAAAAAAAACGGTAGATTTTTTTAATGAGTGTGTTTAGGTGTAGGAAGTATACACTTGAATTGTGAAAACGATACAAGATTACCGGCCTGGTCTAGGGCACTAGGTGCAACCAGATCACTAACAGTCACCACCATAAATTCGGGCAAATCAGAAAATTTTGAGGCATTATCCTGCTACTATTTTTAATTTATGTTACTTTTTTCTGACAGATGCGGGGATTTCAAGGTGCCACAAAACTGCGAGCTGGAGGCCGCCCTTGAAGCCTTCCCCAGCTGCTGTCCGATTCTCATCTGTGGAGGGATTTGAGCACGCGTGCCACTCAACGCAAGGGGCGCGATTTTTTTTTCGTGAAGGCTGTGAATTACACAAAGCGTACGTGAAATAAAGAAAAATAAATTTAAGTTTATTCCCAGCTTTGAGAGTGAATATCGCCATGATTTCCCCTTTTGATGTACTTTGAGTGAGACGCCCGTTTTTTAATGACCTGCTGACTCTAAGATCACGGGATCAAATCCCGACCGCATATCAATGGAGGCGAAATGCCAGAGGCTCGTGCACATATTCGCACGTTAAAGAAGCCCAGCTGGTATAAATTTGCCAAGACCAGCACTTATGATGATATTGCGTTTCTGGACGTAAAACAGTAATCAAAACTTATTAATTTTTTTTCTATAGAATGGAGCAACTCGACCCCAAACAGGCGTCCGTAAGGTTCTCGCTTAAGAGGAGGAGGGCAAGTCCTGCCGCAGTGGTAGAACAAGGGTAAGAGCACTGTCCTTCATCCAGAGCGCTTCTGCGGCACCGAGACCTGTTAGCAGCAGTTTGTAGTGCTCTCGCTTGGAAAAGTTGAGTAGGCGCAGTCACGTTACCTTTGAACGTCGGACCAAGGTATATAAATACTGTGAGCATTGTTTATGCGTCCCATCTTTTCATCTGTACATACTCATCATCACTAGTCAAGCTTAGGTTGTGCGGCACATACTCGAGACAATAAAGAAGAGTCTTGAGGGTACTGGACGCCATCTTACAAGTGGTGGAGGTGCTGCATGATTCCTGCGTCCTCTCGCGCTCTCGGACAACCCCAGCGTCTTCTAGAACACATCCCTGGAGCCGTTGTCAGATAGGAAGGAGCTCCGTTCAGGCCGCCGCTTAAACGACCTGGGTTCGGTAATGTCGCAAGCCGACCAGCCCAGCGCAGCAGCTGCGCCACCGCTCCCACCGCCAAGAAACCCTTCTCACCTAGCTTCTCCCCCCCCCCCCCCCCCAACACACACACACACCACTGGCAGTATTACTCTTCGTTTACTCTCTTTTGACGCCGAAAGAAATGAACAGTATTGCTCACTTCATAAAGAGTGTTAAATCTTATTTGTACTATGCACTCTTCACAGGGTACTATTCACGCTCGAAAAAACAATAAGAAAAAAATAAAATATGTCGATTGTAAGTGCAAGAATGGCCGGATCATGTAGAAGTATCAATAGACAGAAATATTTACCTATTAACAGCATCACTCACTGACTACGTATTTACTCGATAACACTAGCCCCATTGACGTTAAGTAATGTACTTAAACAGTAGCAGTAACTACCCTTGGTAGCAGTAACTACGCTTGGTTATCAAGATAAGTTTCTCAGTGCGGATAAAGGTGTAGCTAGGGGAGAAAGATTGTCGAGCATTCGACAATCCCCCCTTCCCATCCGCTAAATCTTTCAATTGTGCATATGTTTATTCGCGCGAACACGCTAACAGCATATACAATATGAAACAGTTCTAGCTATACGCATCTAAAGTAATCGAGGCAAGTGTGGGTAATAAGATACAAATAAACGTAACGATAACGCGTTTCTTATGACTCGTTACGGCAATATCGTCACAGGTATATTTTTAGTTCGTATACGCACATTAATTCGTCATGAATTTATTTGTGTAAACGTTTATCGGCCATGCCTGCGCCATTCGATGGAGGCGAGTTTTTTTCAAGCTCGCCGAACCGGAAGTCGATGTCGCAGATGCAAAACATCCCGTTGCACCAGGCTTCCTTGGCGCCCCGCCGGAAGCACTCGTCTTCGCATTCCATTTCCGTGCAACACGTGACGACAGAAATTGCCGCGCAGATGACGGCCATCGTGAGCCGAGCGTCGGCAATCGAGAGGAATTTCCCTTGCGCCGAGCGTCGCATGCCAGCCTGACTTTGTGCGGCTCGATGTTCGTCTGCTGAGAACACAAATCGGACGCAACAGGGTGTCGCACATAACTTGAGCCAAAAGTTTTTAAGTAAAAGACACTTCCGGGGTGAATGGAACCAAACGCGTACTACTCGCACTAGCCTGTAGGTACTCAGGCTATTTTTTTTCTCCCCATACTAATTAATTATTAATTTTCAATCACATGTTTTTTATTATGGGCTGGAAAGCCAAAATATGAACACTGCGATATAAAACACTTTCATAAACCACCGACAAAATTGTTTCCTGTATGGTACGTCTAGCGATGTTATTATTTTCCACGTTGTAAAGAAAGCCTATATAGCAGCACTATAGCAGTGCACTCCCGGTCCGTCACACGACTTCTTTTCACGTTTCGTGGGCTTTCTTTACAACGTGGAAAAAAATAACAGCGCTAGACGTACCATACAGGAAACAATTTTGTCGGTGGTTTATGAAAGTGTTTTACATCTAAGTGTTCATATTTTGGCTTTCCAGCCCATAATAAAAAAACAGATGATTGAAAATTAATAATTAATTAGTATGGGGAGAAAAAAAATAGCCTGAGTACCTACAGGCTAGTGCGAGTAGTATGCGTTTGGTTCAAATCGCCTCTTAAGTGCATTTCACTTTCAAATTCTCGGCTGAAGTTATGTGGGAAACCCTGTATAACTATCGGAAAGGTATTTTGAAGAACCCATTGGTATGCGTTATATCAGGTAGATAGGTAAGATGATGACGAACGAGCAGCGGATGTAAGGTCGAATCAGCCTTGAGGTCCCTAGAGAAATGAGGTCATGAACTTCCCCTCGTGGCTCATATCTATCTATCTATCTATCTATCTATCTATCTATCTATCTATCTATCTATCTATCTATCTATCTATCTATCTATCTATCTATCTATCTATCTATCTATCTATCTATCTATCTATCTATCTATCTATCTATCTATCTATCTATCTATCTATCTATCTATCTATCTATCTATCTATCTATCTATCTATCTATCTATCTATCTGGCATTCTTTTCCATCTCTAGCGTTTTATTTTAATTTTTTAGAACAGTTATTATTGTTAACAACTGGAACAGATCTATCTCTTTAGCAACCTCAGTCTAGGTTCTTCGGAAATAAGGAATCGTGTGAGTCCTTTTTTGGCAGTGCTCACTTGTCACGAATTCGACTCTCTTTAAAAAGACATGTGGACTCACTCTAGAGATCATAACGCTCTCGTCGGATAATCAGGACGGCCAAAAGGGCGTGTCTCTTTAACCGGGGTCTTCTACGTGAGAGCTCCCAAAAAATGAGAAACGATTTTCCTTTTATTCTTCAATAGCGAGTGGCATTACGTAAAGTAACCAGAATTTCCAAATATTCAAATATAGCGGTGTGCTACACTTTTTTTTTTTACTACAAAAACGTGCCACTACAATTCCTGAACAGACGTGAGCACCTACCGGAGGGCTTCTTTGTGTTTTTGATATTGGCGACTTCGAGCTCTCACTCGACGTGGCGTGAAGTGCTTATTAATCCTCGCAATCATATAGAGAGAAATCCGAGAACACAAAAGCGGGCCGTATACAAAGGTAAGTGGTCGTTTCTGCGTATTTTCCCCTCTCGCATTCAATTTACAAATGACGCTGAGTACAAAAGACCCGCAGCTAAACAGATATGTGTTCAGAATAGCACAGATTTTTTTACTCAAGTGCTTGTGAGAGGCGCGAATATTTACGCACGCGCGGTTTCCTTGGAATACTATAAAGAGTCGTGGAAATGAAATTATAACGATTTCCCTGAAATGGTGTTTGAAGCATTGAGAACACAGCCGTATTTCTTTGAGAGAGACTCGAATTGACACGCGCCGTTTTCCGAACGCGAAGACTCAGTATGCTCTAAATTTAACATTTTATTTCACTTCACGGCGGAACAATATTGTGTAGTTCAACATCACCCTTAAAAAAGGTGGTAGTACTTGCTAATTTTGGGGTAGTAATTGTTTGTCACATATGTTACAACCCTGGTAGTAAGTGCAGTTAGTAACGGCGAGGGTGGTAACAGTTACTACCATTGCTGTTGCTATACCAGCATTTAGTAACTGTAACTATAAAAGCTACTACCACCTATGGGTTATAACTTCTAGTGGTTTCAAGAAAAAAAGTAGCACCCGGTACTAACCTAATTCATTTTGGCATAGTATTTCTCCATCGCTAATGTTGGTCTATCAATGTTGCATTACTACACAACTGCGGGTAATGAAGCGTGGTGTGCCATAAAAACGAAGAATACAGGGGGGGGGGGGGGGGGGGTTAGAAAAGGGGGTAACGATTTATAGCACAGGGTACTCTACTATGGGAGAGCTTAAAGCCGTCCCGAGCTTTGTGACGGTGTGGATGAGATCAAGCAGTGCTGTTGAAAAACTTAACACGTTCACTATATTTACGCATACAGTGTGAAGTAAGCGGTGGGTGAAAAGAGCCTCTACTTTGCAGGTGCATGTCTGACACAGGGAAGCACTTGTGGTTCAGGATGAATCATAATAAATTCAAACCTATAACACTATATTATAGTACCTGGTTACGTGTGTTTGTGGCCGTAGCACAAAACTTTTTATCAGCCTAAATTATAAAAAATTATATCTCATATATATTCATTATTACACGGCCTCAAAAAGACATTATGTACGGTGGCCGAAACAAGGTACCGAACTCATTCTCAGTGCATTTGAATGCTTCACACGGCTAATATATCAGCGGTTAAAAGGCAATAATCGCTTTTGGAGTTTGACGGGCCAAAACTGATAATACTTGAAGACACGCCGCAGTGGAATAATTGTAACCATCCTGGCGGCTAATTGTGACCATCTGGTTATTTTGATCCACCGGTCTAGTTAATTTGCTGTAATTTACTAAGTTTATTGTAATTGTTTATTACAACGCGTGTAGCACTTGATTATGGTTCGTTAACTTGTACTTCTTCGTTTCGACGATATCAGAAAGACGTTTATATATCTAGGTTGCGTAATTTATAATAGAATGTAATTTCTTGGTGTATGAATTTCTTCTGTGTCATTTTTCCGTTTAGTGATGATACGTCGAGATGATTCCTTTCATAAATTATCAGAATCGGAACCACTCACTATTTTCGATTACATATTCAACAGCCGGGTAGAAAAAAGGTAGTAACTGTATAGGAAAGGTAGTAACGGC